GCGCCTGTGTCGTTCCTTTACTCCAAACACGAGGCGCCTCTCACGCCCCTTGCTCTGCCGGCTAATGGTCACTATGCACTAACACCCCCCACCCCTGGATTCATCATGCCACTCCCAGCCCTCACTCTCCACTTCCTAGGAGGTTCCTCCCTGCTTCGGGACACATCCAGTGCCTGTGCCCACTGTCTGAAGGACTTCATCCCCTCTGGTGGCTTTTCCTGGAAGGACTGTGATGTGACAAAGGACCCAGGAGGGTTTGGAATGCCCAGAACACTATATAGAGGCTGGAACTTCCTTCCCTTTAATGTCTTCGTGGCCAGAGCTGCTCCTGGGTTGTCAAAACTTAACATCTGGGGTCACACTTCCTAGCCAGGTCCCAGGGAAATTTGCCTAACTGGTGAGTTCCAGAGGTGCATGTGGGCAGTGAGCATGGCATGGACAGGGACAGATTCTCTCTCTCTCTCTCTCTCTCTCTCTCTCTCTCTCTCTCTCTCTCTGGAGTCCGCCTGTGAGTGGGGAGGACACCTTAGCCCAGAGGTGTGCTGCACGGCATTTCAAGCATGAAAGGGTGTTTGCTATCCCAGGCCTGTGCTGCGGAGGCCCAGAGGTCAAGAGACTCTTGGGAACCCAGGACCCAGCTACTGGCTCCTGAGATCTCTCCAGTTCAGATCTTGTGGAAGAAGGGAAATCTCTCTAGTGACTTTGGGTCACTACCCAGGGGTGGAGGGCACCAAGGGTTCGGTACTTCTGGTCCCATGAACCTGGACTTGGTTCCCATGTCTGTGTGGCAGACATAATGGCCAGGGCCCAGCTGTTGGCCAAAGTTCAAGGGTTACTGGTCAAGGAGCAGGGCCTGCCCAGTCTAGTTTCCTCCTGTCTCCATGCCACCTTCCTTGCAAGCAGCCCACCCCCAACTGCGGGACATCCAGAGCTGGAAGTGGTGCTATGGACCATACAGCATTCTCCTTTCTGCCTGCCTGGCCCAGCTAACCATCTGACCATGCAGGTGGCCTGGGGCTGGGAGACAGCTTGAGCGGCCAACGTGCCAGGAGTCCTGGGGCCAGGAGTCCAGCTTCTCATGGGCACTAACTAGCGACGATGGCAGACTCAAGTCACTCTGAGACAAGGGGAGTGGGGACACTAGGCATGAGCCCCTTATTCTCAAGAACAGCTCTGTACTCTCTAGCCATGCCCTTTCTGGGAATTATGGAACAGCCTCTGTCTGGTAACACCAGGGATGGGCTGGAGGGTGCTGTCACTGTCACCAGGGAAGGCCTGGCTTCAGCATGCAGGGAGCAAAACCTGCTGCAGCTCAGTGAACCTGTGGTCTGCAGGAGAAACCCAGAGACATGCCATGTAGTATCGCAGGTATGAGATTGGTAGCCCTAGGGGTGATCACTGCCTAGGCCAGCTCTATGGAGGCACAGAGAAGGGAGATGGACAGAATATGCTGATGTCCAGAATGGGAAAAGCCCGAGGGAACCTGAGGGGCCCACATGCCCATATCACCTTAAATGAGCCTTTTCAGAAATTTGGGTGAGAGGGGAAGGAGAAACCACATCTAAAAATGACCCTAAGGGTTTCTATCACCTGGACATATTTCCGTGCTTCCTAGAAGGGAAACAAGCCCTGGACTTGCTCATGGAGATCTGGAGGGCTTCGTGTGCCTGACAGTCCCCAACTTTCTGCCCAAGGGGCTCTCAGGCACATCCAGGCTCTCATGATTTCCCCTTCCTCTCCTGCCTTGGATTATGCCTCTTCTGGGGCTTTCCACTCATTCCTGTAGGAATGGGGGACCATGAGCTGTAGGAAATGGCCCCACTTCCTGACGGTGGCTGAGACCCCATAGCTTTGTGTTTGGGCTTGTCACCCTGAGCCCGAGACCCTGCCCACACTGCCCCTGAGCGGCAGCTCCTTCTTCTCTAGAGAGAGCCTCCAGTCTTAGCGTCAAGCCCTAATAGGGTCCTTCACTAGGACAGGGGCCTGGTGGTCTTTCCTGGTGTAGGGCATGCCTTTACCCTCAGCTGGAGGCTTATTTCAGCCATTAACCTTCCCTTCTTGATCTGCCCATGGCTGCCCACCTGTCACCTCCATTAGCATTGGCCCTGTGTGTGTTGGGGGCTCGTGAGCCGGGCGAAGTTCCTGGACTCTGCACTGTCTCATTCCCTCAGGGTTACAGCCCTCACCAAGACAGGGAGGGGCTGTCTGGTACTCCACCGTGGGCAGAGGGGCAGAGGCTAGAGCCAAACAGGGTCTAAAGCCCCCACACAGAGGGACTCCATGGAGCGACAGCAATACCGAAGCCCTGGAGTGCCGCACAGGATACTTGGCCGTGGCTCATTTTGCACCTTATGAGTACAGGACACGTGGCAGCATCCAGAGTCCACGTGAAATCCCTGGTCCAGAAAGGAAGAGACACCCTTGGGGGTTCACCTTCTTTGCACATTCAAAGTGTCCTTGGGGACTGTAGGCTAGTGGGGGAGCAGACTGAGGGCTTGACTGCAGAGATAGGATCGTGCCTGAAGCGCTGTACCAGCTGGAGGGTGCAGGTCTTGATGGCCCCGGGGAGCCACAGTGGATACACAGTATAGGAAGGGAGGTAACAGGACCTGGTGGCTGCACAGGGAAAACCTAGGCTCAGGAGATCAGGACACTGGTGGAGCCCATAGTGGTGGTGTGCAGGAGTCTGAGGGATGACGTTCCTGGGATCTGAGTGGTCCATTCCTGGACATGCTGGGTTACCCACCAACCTGGGGCAGGAAAGGGCTGCCGCTGTATGCCAGGCAGCTGGATGGATGAGACTCCAGTGATCCCTGGAGGGTCTGAGCCGGCTGCTGTCTGTGTGTGGGTGGTGGTGGTATTTGTAAACTCCCTTTCATGGGAACATTCCAGCTGGACAGGGGCCTCTTCCTTTAGAGGGAGCAGCCGGCCTGTCCAGGTGGGTGGGACAAACTCAGGCTGCCCAAGCCCCCACCCCGTCTCTGAGCCTGGCACTGGTTGAGCAGTGCCTGGGGCCGACAGCAGCCATATGTTGGGAAGTGGAGCTGTGTGCGTTGCTCTGCGGCCCCCGGGGCCAGCCTTCCTGGGCCTGTCACAGATGATTTTCCCTGCCTGAATGGCAGGCAGGATGGCGGGTGGGGCAGTGGGGGCCTGTGAGCTGGCCCTATCTCCAGGCCTTCCACTGCCCTCAACACCAGGGATTGCCACTCTTGGAGTAATCCAAAGGCTGGGCCTCAGCTTTGAAGCCCCTAGAATTTCACCGAATAAACCCTGTGGTGGGCACCCCTTTTGGCTCCAAGTTGGGGTTCAGGAGAAGATTCCTGGTTGGTCACCCGGGAGGGACCTCCTGCTTGGCTGTGGGTGGTGGCCAGGGGTCCACACCAGGCTGCTGTGTGCCCCGGGCAGGTGGAAGAAGGCCGGGAGCTGCAGCCCTGTCAGCCCAGCGCCCAGAGCTGTGCACAGGGAGGCAGGGAGGCCATGGCTAATTTGTACACTAAGTGCTTCTGACAGGGATGCCTCACAAGTGAGAACATGCCACTGCCCGCCCTGGGAAGGCCGTAATGGCTAGCGATGAAGACGGTGGGCCCAGGAGAAAGAGCCATGGGGACACAGGACCAACAGGGACCAGGAATTTGGGGAAGCCAGGAACATGTTGACAGCTATCGGAAAATTAGGATTTAGGAAGAAATACGGAAGAGCTGTGAGAAGTGAGGACGAGATGGACAGAGACAAGGGGGCAGAGCCCTTTACAACTCTCATGTCCACTGTTCCCGTGATGAGTCCTGTTGCTCGTGGGCTTTGTGACCTCCTGCTCGTGACAATCCACCCCAGTCTAGCCTAGCATGTTGACGCTATGATGTTAGGTCTATTGCTTTGACTAGTCTGCCCATCCCCCTCCTCCAGGCCTTTTGAGGAGCCCTAGCCCCCTCCCAATACTAACCAAAGAGTTTTGCTTATGTATACAACTCCCCTCTGAATACCCCCTTGGTTCCCCTCCCCCATATGCCGGAGTCCACAGAGAAGGTGTTTGCTGGGACCAACCAGAGTGGGTGAGCATGCAGCCACTGGACCTCCATCTTGCCCCGACACCAGAGTCCTGTTTTGAGTCTTTCTGGGGCTGGAGCTGCAGAGGCCAGTGTGGTGGGTGCCAGGTAGAGTAGGGAAGAAGAAAGAGGAACTGATCTTTAGCTGGCAAAGGTGCCCAGAGCTGGCTCCTGCCACAAGTATGCATAGGTGCAAGTCTTGCCCCTCCACTGGAGGAGAAGGTCCAGCCTGGTGCGCAGCCGCATCGGGGCAGGGAAGGCGCTGTGGGCGGCGAGGTGAGATGTGTTGTGGCAGCTGCCCCGCTGCCCGAGGCCCGCCTGGAGCGAACACTGCTGGTGGCTTTAATTGCTTTCACATTCGATGGGCTGGCCTGTGACAGGCCTCTTACGCGGTGCTCTCCGGCCGTGAACCCCCAGCCCCCGCTTGCCCAGGGGCATCCTCTAGCTCCTGAAGGGGCCTGGGCTGCTGGCCAGAGATGGGCTGAGCGGCTTAGCGTCACCTGTGATAGGAGATGGGCCCAGTCTGCACCGAGCTGGGAGGGGCCACAGCACAGCAGCCAAGAAGAGAGCAGCAGCTACAGTCCCACTCACCCTCTGGCTCCATCTGCTCCTTCTTGGTGACTGATGGATTCCGACAGCCTTCATCCCTCCCAGTGCAGGAAGGGAAAAAACACTTGCACACATGTTGTCCTGCCCACCATGTTGGTCCTACCTGGTTGCGGGCTAAGACCCTAGGGTCTGCCTCCAGCCTGTTTCACCTGGTGGACACTCACTACTTCTGGAGGATCTGCCTGGCTCACAGCTCATCTGACCTCGGGCAAAAGCACGAACCGTCACCCCACAGTCCCCGGTACTCTTCTGACCCGATCTATCCAGGAGACCCCCACACTGGCCTTTGGAATAGCTTGTTTCTGTGTGTGTAGGGACAGGGAGGGTGACAAAAGACTGAAAGCTCCCTTACAAAACAAAACGCTTTTATTTGGTCCTTGGAGCCTGAGTGGAAACGGCCTATGGAGTCATCGAACAAGGAAGGGACTGATAGCTGATAAAATAGTCTCTGTGTTCGAAGAGCTGGTCCTATTTACAGGGTTAAAAATATTCACAGCTCAGAGTAAAAGGGGGCCCAGAGGGGAGGGGAGTGTTTCTTTAGGTATAAAAACCCTCGCAAGCCCCATGGAGGCAAGGATAGTGGGTGTGTGAGCTGCCCACTACCTAGGGGGCTGCAGGACAGTGGCAGCCAGGTGGGGGCCCAGGAAAAGACTCAGGCGTCCATGTGGCAGGTAAGGGCTCTGATTTTGACAAGCAGCTAGGGGAATGCTGGGCAGGTGGGCAGCTTGGCTCCCTCATCTAGGGAAGGGAGTAATCAGTCACACCTTACATGTGCCTGTAACGGGACTGGGGTGGGGTGTCCTTCTTGGTGGACAGACTGAGGCCATGGGACAGTGCCGATTGTGGCCAGGGAAGCTAAGGACAAAGCGCTTCTCCAGACAGCTGGGCTGGGTCTGGCTTCCGACCTGCCACCCCATCATGGCTTCGATCCTGGCAGGTGCTCCAGGAATTGCATAGTGTTGCAGGAGGGGCAGCTGTCCCCAAGCCCTGGCTGATGGCCATCAGGCATCTGCTTCCTGCAATGCGCTGCTCATGTGCCAGGGCTATCAGGACCCTGCTCATTAGGCAAGGAGTTGGGCTTGGGAACAAACCAAGGGGGGAAGCGGCAGATCGGAGCCCCCACAGAGGGTTACCCAGGTTCTCAAGGCAGGATCATGGCCTCTGAACCCCCAGATTTGGTTCTGTGAACACATATCTGGGATGCCTCTCTATAGCAAGTGACCCCATATTCACAGGGAAGGCCAGCCCCATTTCGGCCTTGGCCACCTGAAGCTGTCCCCAGGGCTCAGGACAGAAGTACTGGAATGAAACCCACCCGGCTCGAGGTATTCTGCATGGCAGCTGGGAGGCCTGGTGGGGACTGAGGGTACTTGGGGTGGAGGAGGAGGGGAGGGAGGCCCAGGGGAGGCTGCACCCTGTAGCCGGTGGCTCCCTGGGCAGGGTCCTGAGATTCCGGTTCAAGCATCCTCCATTGGGGGTCTCCCTCATAAAGTGCATGTAGGGGAGGGCAGGTGGGTGGATCTGCACATAGCCCCTGCCCTGGGGAACTGTAGTCATAGTGGCCGGGGTCCATGTAGACCGGCCACATCAGGTGTGAGTGGGGGGCTGTGGGTACCCCTAGAGGCTGTCCAGTCGCTGAGGAAGGCCTGGGCTGCCTTGCGATGTGCCAGGCGGTGGGTGATGGAGAATCCAGCATTGCCTTCCAGCTGGGACAAGATCACCAGGACCTGCCTGCAGGACAAGGCTGATGAGGACCAGTGGGAGACCAGGGCCTAGGGTAGGGAAAAAACAGCAGGTACCCACCTGTGCAGGGGTGGGACACTGTCCTGGGTACGCAGGCTGCCACGCGTGGACACCACGTTGAAGCTGTCGGTGCAATCACACTGCACGTGCAGGTAGGACTTGGGGTGCCGGTTCTCCACCACCACGATGAGCCCCGCCCAGCCATGAGTCAGGTAGTAGCAGGTCATGCCCTCTCGGCCCTGGGCACAGGCACAGGGTGGGTGGGCCAGGGCTGGTGGTTGCCCACCCGCGGCCCTCCCCCATCAGGACCCCACCCACCTCATGCCGCTCGCCCCGGCTCTCAGTGAGCAGGATGATGGCATCGGCCAGTGTGGTTGGCTGCGCCTCCACCGGCTCCACCATGACCAGCCTGGAGCTGTACACTGCGAGTACGTGGCCGGGTGGCTCGGGGGCACCTCGGGGGACCCCTGCTGAGGGGCTGGAGGCTGTGGGGGGTGTGGATAAGGGAGCCAGCAGCTTTCCCGTGGGTGGGCTTTGGGGCTCGGAGGGTGGGAAGGTGGGTGTGGGCCTCATCTGGCTGGGGCCCTTACCCTGGGCAGGGGGCCCTGGTGGAGCAGGGTTCCAGTGGTTGAAGGCACAGCACACCACAGCATACTCGCCAGGCTCCAGCATGACATCACAGTTCACAAACTTCTTAACAGCACGTTTGCTGTGGGCCAAGAGGCGGCCCAGGCTCAGGCGGCCACCAGTGCCAAAAGTGGCCCGGAATACCAGGATGCACAGATCCAGGAGGTGGCTGTCTACTGAATCCGAGCGCCTGAGGGCCAGAGACAATAGGCTGGGTGCTCATGTGGCCACAGCCATGAGCTTCTAGCTTGGTATCGTGCTCAACCTGTTGCCTACCTGCTGCCCTCCTGGAAGAGGGCAAACTCCAGTGAGGCACGCTCCAGCACCGTGAGTGCCGTCACACCCACTGGTCCACTGGCAGTGCTTGGGAAACTTCCCTGAACCCGCGCCTCCTGCCAATCTGAGTGTACCTTGCAGATGTCCACAGAGTCAAAGTACCTAGACAGTGAGCAGAAAGGGTGACTGAGCAGAGTGCAGCTCAATGCTCCAGCCCTGGGACGCAGTGCTCACACTACGGGCCTTTGTTGCTCAGCTTCCAGCATGCATGGCAGTCTCCCTGCCTCACTGCTCTCTCTTGGTTATCTCCTAGCACTCCCTCCCTGCCCTGGGAGCCCCTGGCATCTCTCCAGGAAAGGACTGATAAGCAGGAAGCCCTTCTCTAGGAGGGAACCCTGCTATGGTCCCCAGCTGGTGATGCTACTGCAATCAGGAGGAATTGACCTCATCGGCGGGTGAAGCCATGGATGAGTTCAAAGCTGAATGAACAGGCTATCAAGAGGTGGTACCTGGTTGGAGGAAGTAGGACACTGGAGGCCTGGTCTTTGAAGGACATATTTGGCCTCTTCCTGTCTGTCTCTGCTTCTTGAAGGCAATGAGGTAAGCACCTTTGCTCTGCCATACCCTTCTGCCTTACCAGATCGATTGCAATGGAGTCAGCTGATCATGTGCTGAAATCTTTGAAGCCATGAGCAAATTAAGTTTTGCTTTTGTTTTTGAGATGGGGTCTCATATAGCCTAGGCTGGCCTGGAACTCATTATGTACTTCAGGAATTTGGGGTCCTCCTGCCTCAGTTGCTGGAGCATTGGGATTACAGATATGCATGCTACCATACCTATTCACTCCTGCTTTTAAACTGTTCCTCTCCAGTATCTGTCACAGCGATGGTAAACTGACTGTTTCCTGAACACCATGGGGGTGCAGAATCTCACACACACACACACACAAGCCCTGCTTCTTATAGACCTAAATTCCACGGCCAGACCAAGAGCTGCCTTTAAGAGGCCTGCAGGAGCCGGGCGGTGGTGGCGCACGCCTTTAATCCCAGCACTCGGGAGGCAGAACCAGGCGGATCTCTGTGAGTTCGAGGCCAGCCTGGGCTACCAAGTGAGTTCCAGGAAAAGGCGCAAAGCTACACAGAGAAACCCTGTCTCGAAAAACCAAAAAAAAAAAAAAAGAGGCCTGCAGGAGCTGGGACATGGACAAGTTGCTTATCTAGACCAGCTCCCTGAGGATCTGGCCATGGGACAGGTGAGGGCATCCAGGTACCTGATAAAGTCACTATACTCCATCCAGAAAACACCCTCACTGCTGCCATGTGGCATGAGTTCGGCTCGCAGGTGCCCTGGCCAGTGTGGCCACTCATCCGACCAGCTGCCATTCCAGGAGAAACGGCCCCATGGGTTCCGGAGTCGTAGGAGCCTGTAGATAACAGGACTGAGAACCAAGACTATGTGCTTTGTGTTCACGCACTTGTCTACCCTCAGCCAATTGGACCCTTACCTGGAGCCCTGAACATCACGAACATCCAAGATGGAGTAGGCATGGCGGGGGCGCAGACCCAGGCTCTCATAAGCAGCATCATCTACCTTCATGTTACCTCCTCCGCAGGAGGCACCCATGAGGAACCTGTGTGGGCAGAGTGACCTTGGCTGATGGAATGGATAGGTAGCAGGGGAGATGGACCTTCTTGAATGTGGGGGTACAGTCTGGGACCCATGTGACATATGCTTTGATGAAATACTGGCCCACTATGGATGAGCTCAGAATGCCTGGGCTAGAACAAGCTGGTTTCTGAAGGCTTAGGCCTGAAATGGTTCAGCTGGAGGCAGGGATTTCGACATCCACTACCAGGTCTAGGGCTTCTGTAGGTCTCTGGGTCTAGACTCTTCTAGGCCTTGGGAAAGGGATGTCAAGATTCACAGTGCTGACCGTGGTGTGGCATGTCTCAGAACACCTCCTCCCACTCCTCAGGGTCCCTCTGTGGACTCTTGCCTTTTCCTAAGTGGGAAGTAATGAGATCTGGGCTCTTCCCAGGGTGGCTACCTAGAATGGAATGCCAGTTAGACTTCTTGGCGATGGCTAGCTGCACTAGAGCACCATGCTAGCTGCAGGCAGTCAGAGGGTACTGCTCCCCACCTCTCCCACAACTCTACCTCTTTTCTCCTCACAATGCCACAGGCCATGGCAGTGACTGTCTCTTACCCAGCCTCCTTAGAACTCAGCATTTTGGCCCAGATGAGGTCAGTGTCAACAGGTTCCTCTCGGGGGTTAGTGGAGCTGACCTGCAACGCCAGGCTCTCACAGGGGGCACCGGTGAGTGTGGCCAGGCCTTCAATGGCACGCCCTGCCTGGAGGGCGAAGTAGGAGCCGTGCAGCTTGGCCAGCGCTTTCTCAATGAGGGCCACCCATAGCTGCTTCCGCTGTGCCTGGGGGAGGGATCAGAGTCACGGGCTGCCCGGTTTCCCGGCCCTGCCTCCCACCTTGCCGTCCCACCTGTGAGAAGAGCAGAAAGCCAGCCTCATCGCAGGGCAGCATGTCGTCCACCAGCACTGTCGTCCACGTACCGTCCTTGCACAGCCGCACCTGGTAGGCACCCTCTGCGCATAGGCTACGTGTGACCATCACCCTTTCCACGAGGTCGGGACGTTCAGCCAGTACTGCCAACGCACTCAGGAACCTGGACGGAGCCAGACAACTTCACAACATGCCCAGAACTGGACCAGTAGCCGCCATCCTCCCCTGAGCCTGTCTGTCCCTGGCAGGAACCTGGAGCCTCACCAGCAGTTCCCCAGCAGCCCCTGTAGGATGTCAGAGGGCCTCAGGGTGTGGAAGACTGACCACGGGGTGCCGTGGTCCCTGAAGACAGAGCAGTTGATTTCGTGGGGCCGCAGCCACTGTTTCACTCGCTGCTGGACGCTGTCGCCCACTGGGAAGCCGACAGATGCAGGCCCGGGGGGGAAGCTGTCATCCACAAAGTTCACACTATTCTGCAGGGACCATGGCCGGACACTCAGGCTGGGCAGGGCAGCCGCAGGCCCAGAATGATTCCACTCTACCTTTTGGGGAAAAACCCCACCCTCCCAAGAGAGCTTTAGAAGGCTGGGGTGGGGCTCTTGCACATTATACCAAACTCGGTGCTAGGCAACTCTGAATGGATGATCCTGAGTGGTCATGGGGACAGATGGCCTCCCTGCCCATGACACTGCAGGCCAGAGTGAGCATGTTAGCCTGGGAGATGGCACAGCTCCAGCTGCTCTTTGAGCTGACCCAAGGGTTCAGGCACCCAGGGTTCAGGCTCTGCAGCTCATAGGGAACACCAGGTACCCCAGCCTTGAGCTGTCCCAGGGCATGCTGCCCTGTGTAGGACAGTCCCACTGTATCCTCATCTCTCGGTGGGTTTACACACGGGAGGTCTGGGATCCTCCTGGGCATGTGAGCTGAGGGAGTGTGACATCAATAGTGGAGGTAAATGTTAGTTACCTTGGGCCAAGCTAGCTCTCAGCCTCAGAAGAGGCTACTTACCTCTCTGCAGAAAGCCACTATGTTCTCCCAGAGTGCCTTGGCCTCGCCCTCGTCTGTCTGCCTCCGCTTCTCCACATGCATGCTCTCCCTGCGCCTCAGGGGTGTAGCCCCCCGGCACTGGGTCACTAGAAGCTGTGGTGTGTGGCAGGCTGCACAGTGCTTGGCCCGAGGCGCGTTGATCAGGGTGCAGGCAGGGCAGGCCCACTGGCCCAGGCCATCAGGCAAGAGACGGGCAGCCTTATGTGCTGAGGGAGCTCGTCCACAGCAGCCAACACAGGGGCCAGGCTTGTCGGCACCACAGTCGGGGCAGTGGGAAGGGGGTTCACTGTGCTCCTGGAAACCATGCAGCTTGGAGCCACCACACGCTGAACACCTGGAGGCTGCTGTGGGGTTCCTAAGTGTGCACCTGGCACATGACCAGGTGGTGAAGTCAGGGCTGGAGGGGCTGGCCGGTGTGTAGCGGACAGTGTCTCCAGCCAGGTCAATGACGTCACTGCACGACTCACAGCGGGCAGGGCTGCTCTCGGGGGCCTCCTCCTCCAGTACGCTCAGTCGCTTGCCCGACAGCAGCTCAGCGAGGCGGGAGGCCCCAGCTGCAGCTCTTCCAGGGCCCTGGGAGGGCCCTTTGGAGCTGGTGGAGGTCGAGGACTGAGCAGCCTCAGGCACAGGTGGCTGAAGCTGAGGGGGGACCTCCCGGCGGCTTCTGGGCACAGGGTTGTTCTGTAGGGTGGGTGAGAAGGGGCTGAAGGGTGGTACCCTGGGGGGCTCCTGATCAGTGGAGGTGGGACCCTGGCTGGTAGAAGGAGAATCAGCCTCAGCACCTTCCCCAGGGAGGAGAGGCTGGGATGGAGCAGGAACAACATGGAAGCCAGTAGGGGCCACAACCTCGGGAACCACCAGGGCCTCTGGGGGGATGCGAGGCAATGACAGTTTCCGGGGTCCCCCACAGGCAGAACAAGAGCTGGCCACTGGTGTGTTATGCAGTGTACAGCGCTGGCATGCCCAGCCACTGCCAGGCTCTGCCCCTTTCCCTTCGTCCTCCTGCTCCTTTTCTTCTTCTTCCTCAGTGTGCCCTCTGGCTGGCTCCATGGCCACTAGCCCTGCCGTCCGCACAGGGCCTGCTTCCTCCTTGCAGCTGCCCTTTGGTTCCACCAGGACGGTGGGTGGCTTGGGCAGGACCCCATTGATAATGGGCAGCAGAGGGGCTCCAGGAACAGGCTCTGGGGTAAAGCCACATACTTCACAAGCCTCTTTGCCTAAAAAGTTCCGGAATGTACAGCGTGCACAGGGCCATTTCTGCTCCTCTACGCTGAGCCGCAGGATCTGGTCAAGATCTGGCTTGTGCCTGGGGGCCTCACAGATGGAGCACTGGCGTTGGCCGGCAGGGTTCAGGAAGGTGCAGCGCGCACAGGACCACTCCCCAACTGTGGCCATAGACCCAGGAGAATGTGTGTGGCTGCAAGGGAAGAACCTGATTAGTGTGGCTCCTTTGAGGCCTCAAGTCACAATGTTCCATGGGCAACAGGACACCACTTTCCCATGGAAGGTGACTGGGACTGGGAGATGCCTGCCTGGCTGCAGAGCCAGCAATGTGGAAAGTGTGGCCAACTTGGGGTGAGCAATGTTCTGTTCTAGAACATGTTCAGGAGGGATAGGGGTGGTGTGGCCATCAGTCAAGAACAATGTAAGCCTTTGCCCAGTATGCATCCTCAGCTTTGCAGCTCCGCCCATCCAGTCCCAGTTCAGGGCAGAATCAGAGCCTGAACCCGGGCATTCAGGCCTGTTCCCTAGGGCTTGGCACACTCCACACCTGGGCTTGTAGCAGGGTGGCAGTGCATACTGGAAGGATGTATGGATCCTTCTTGGAAAGGCTACCTGAGCACAGTGAGGACATAAAGCAAACACAGGGGGAGCCTGGACAGAGGCTGAGGTTATGAGGCTTGCACCTTGCATTATCCCCAAAACTTGACATTCTTCTGGGCTTTGGGACAAATGCACAGAGTACATGGAGTGCAGTCTGTGCTTGTGTGGAGGCAGGTTTCCTGTGCTCCTGGCCTGACTGCCTGCTCCCAGGACGGTTCCCTCAGGAGGCTGGAAAGGGTGCTGGGCTCCATGACAGGGCCGAGCTGCAAATAACCTTCACAATACCCATCGTTTGAACTGACCAGAGCTGCTCTGCCTCTAGGAAAATCAATTGCTTTTTACAATGAAGCACAAAGCTTATGCTTCTAACCTTTGGTTCAAGAAGAAGGAAAACATTCTTCTTCAGAAAAAAAAAAAAATTCTTCCCTCCAAAATACGACTTGCCTAGGGGCCCAGAGTTGGTTCTGATTCCACCTTCCCGTGTAGGAGGGACAGGCAGAGAAGTGCTTAGGCTCGGCTCAGAGCCTGGAGAGCACCAGACCCCTCTCCTGAACTCCTTTACCTGGTGAGGGCTCATGGTTAAGGACAGAACACAGTGTGTGCCAGCAGAGAGGATGCCCCTTGACACCCCCCTCATATGAGAACACTACTGTCTCCACCTGCACATCTACTTCATAGCAAAAGCAGGATGGGTATCCCAGAGAGTTTGACAGGTCCCTTCCCAGGAATCTCCTGAGGGAAGTCAATCCTCATGAAATGTCCTAGGGGACTCTCGGGGCATTCTCTGATTCAGCCCTAGGCCACTGACCGTACAGGCTGAGGAAGGTTGTGATGGTTAATTAATGTTTACTGTCAACTCGGCTGGATTTGGAATCACACAGAAGACACATTTGGCAGTGTCTTTGAGGGTGTTTCCTGAGAGGTTTAACCGAAGACGGAAGACCCACTCTGTAGTCCAGGCAGGCCTCAAACTTACAGAGACTCCCCTACCTCTTCCGAGTGCTGGGATTAACAGCATGTCCCACCACGCCTAGCCCAGAAGACTCACTCTGAAGGTGAGCACCACCATCCCATAGACTGGGATCTCAGATTAAACAAGAAGGGGAGAAGGAGGGCCTGAGTTTGACATCTGGAGACCCACATGGGGGAAGGAAAGAACCAACTCTCATAAAGTGTCCTCTAGCCTCCACAGGTGAGTCATGGCATGCATGCATGTGCACACACACAACATAAATTAGTATTTAAAAAAGAAAAAAAAGGAGAAAGCATGAGCTTCTTTACTGCAGACAACACAACCAGCTGCCTCATGCTCCCATGGCCATGCTTTCCTTGAATAAGAGACTGTATACCTTCTATGATGGTTTGAATGAAAATGGCCCCATAGGCTTACATATCTGAATACCTAGTCACATTTTCTGCAAGGCCTTCAGAAGGCACGGTGCTGTGACTGTCAATTCCAAGATGCAATGAACACCCGCGATAGTGGGGAAGCCAGGACACGGATGTCTGCTGAGGAGAGCTGCAGGAACAGAGTGGAGCTGGCTGAAGAGAGAGGCTGTGTGTGTGCTGTGGATGGCGGGAGGCTCACAATAAGCTACAGGTGCAGGACAGAGTGTGGAATTTGGGGTTTGGTCTTCCTTGGCCCTGTTTTACTCTGCTATGCCCCACTTCCTCTCCTTTGGATTGTGAGGTATGCTTACTCTATGCCACTGTCTGTTGGAATTATATAAACTTTATAGTTAAGAGGCTGACTTGAATGTTGGCATGAGCCAGGTGTGGTAGCTCATACCTATAATCCTGGCACTCAGAAGGCAGAGGCAGGCAGGTCACTCTGGTCTCTCTGAGATGCCCTGACTTCCCCCAGCAAACCTCCTCCCTTCACAATGGAATATGGACCACAGAACCGTAAGCTAAAGAGTCTTTCTTCCCTCACAGTAGGTCTGTCAGGTGCTCTGTCCTAGCAAGAAGAAAAATAACTAGGGAAGAAGTCCAGGTGCTCATTCATCTCAGGGAACAGCCGGGGTGGCCGGGGTCTGGCTTTGGCCCAGCTGAACCTGGAACCTGGCCATTGACTGGGATGAGAGGTAGATAGGGGAACCACACGGGAAACTCTTAGCCAAATCAGAAGACTCCATCTGTAGTATAGGACAGCTCAAAAAAAAAAAAAAAAAAAAAAAAAAAAAAAAAAAAAAAAAAAAAAAAAAAAAAACAAAGAACAAAGTCTAAAGATCAAACTTGTTCCTAGGAAATAGGACAAACTGGCCAGAGGCCAAGCTTGGGTCTTCTGTAACCAGAAAATCTGCCAAGACCAAGGAGTCTTAGGGCAACTCTGGTCATCTGTGAGCTATGAACCTCACAGGACCCCTACCCTTCAGCATCCTTAGTTCACTTGATTAATGCCATAGTCCATGGCCAGTCCTATACTGCAAGGCCTGGGAAGGGACCCATGGCTAAAGACCTGAAGTCCATAGGCAAGGCCAGACCACCTCCAAAGTCTGCAGCAAAAGCCTGCGTAGAGCTGAAGACCCAATAAAATCTGCATACAGACTTTGGCAAACCCTGAGGAACTCTCCACACAAGGGCTGGAGTGTTGCTAGGTGGCGGAGTGCTTGCCTAGCATGTGTGAGGTACTGGGCTTGACTCCTAGATCCAGAAGTAAAAAGAAATTGAAAAGGGTTTTTGTACTTGATTTTCTAGAATTCTCAACACAAACACTCCTAAATCACGGCACATGAGCTCACAGAAGTAATTCCAACTCTTCAAGACAGGCTCACAACAGAGAGCAAACTGAGTCAACTGCCAGAAGTCTACTCAGAATACTTGCTTTGTTCTCAGCTTCCTGGGCATCGCAACACTCAGATCTCATGCAAAGGGAGGTGACAGGCTGCAACAGTTTACCTGAGTAACCAGGGAGTGAGCACCCAGAGGACTTAGAAGTTGCTACATCCTGCTGTGGTCATGGCATGAGTCTTTCTCCTCTTAGGAAGAACCAATAAAGCTACCCACCTGAGGAAGCACTGGGAAGCTACTCATTAGCCACTAAAAGATGGATGCCCCTGACCAACAGAGCAGCTCCATGCCTTACCCTTGCCAGGCTCTTAGCCCTAATTTGTGCTCAGGGTAGACTGTCTTGAGGGCCTGTATAAGGGTGAGGGTAGTGTCTCCCTTCCTAGGCTATTCTCCTAGGCTGACCACAGTTTGGCCTACTCAGTTTTTCTGGATGGGTGTGTCCTCCTTGTCTCTGTCCCTGGGCAGCCAACGCCTGAATCAACTGTCTACTGATTAACCAGCCAGGTGAGGCTGGACATAGCAGGGTTCCTATACTGGGCTCTCAAGTGGGTGGAGGAGGGGGAGAAGGTGCACCTTGACCTGGGCTCAGCTATGTGAGCTGCCTTTTTATCCACACAATGGGTGTTACCAAAAAGGAGAGTAGTAGCTATGCTGGGGGGGGGGGGCAGTCCTGAAAGGTGAGGGGCTGCTATGGCTGCTAATTTCTGCCCCATGCTTCTCCCTGCCCACCTAGCACCCTGCAAGAGCTGGGGAAAAGGCTGCTGTTTCCCATGCTTGTGCTGTGTTACTTCTGTGTGAGTACACACACATGTGGGGAAGGAGTCCCAAAGGGTGGCCACAGAGTAGTAGTGTCTCTTCCTGCCTTCCTACCATCCATCTAGCCCAGCAACCCTCTGATGTCCATCCTCTCTCTAGTTTGGATATGTATGGCTTCTTCCAGATCATTAACACTGTTGATTTCTGATTCAACCTGGATGCCCATGGGAACTAGTACATATTGGGGACACCTATTTAGGGTAAGGGCCTGGCAGGAGGATGGAGTAATATGGAGTAAAGACACATCCTCAAGTCTTGGGTCTCTCTCCTTTTTTTTTTTTTTTTTTTTTTTTGGTTTTTCGAGACAGGGCTTCTCTGTGTAGCTTTGGAGCCTGTCCTGGAATTCATTCTGTAGACCAGGTTGGCCTCAAACTCACAGATATCCTCCTGCCTCTGCCTCCTAAGTGCTGGGATTAAAGGCATGCGCCACCACTGCCTGACCACTCTCCTCTTAATCCCACCTCCTTGCTTTATCTCAGATGTCCAGCCAAACAGTTCTAGATGTCTTTAATTTTTTTTCCCTCACATAGCCCAAGCTATACTTGAACTCCCGATCCTCTTGTTTCCACCCCTAGAATGCTGGAATTACAAGTATGCACCATCATGCCTGGCCATAGTTCTGGATTTAAAAATCTTGTGATTTATTTATTTAATTTGAGCCAGGGTCTCTCTTTGTAGCCCTAGCTATCCTAGAACTCACTATGTAGACCAAGCTGGCTTCAAACTTACAGAGATCCACCTGCCTCAAAAAATCTTGTGCTTTAAATATATATATTTGTACACACATATTTAATTTCATGCATATGTGTTTGTGCCTGAGTGTATGTATATGTACCATGGACATGCTGGAACCCCTAGAGATCCCCAGGAACAGAGTTTCAGATGGCTATGAGCCACAATGTGAACTGAACCCAGGTCCTCTGGAAGAGTGGTAAGTGCATTAACCACTGTGCCAACTCTATAGCCCCTTAAATCTTGTGCTTTTACATTTGTTTTTTGAAAAAGGGTCTCACTCAGTAGCCCTGGATGGCCTGGAACTCACTATGTGGCCCAAGTTGCCTTAAATGCTCAGCAATCTTACTTTGCCTCTTGCCTCAGCTTGCCAAATTCTGCAGCTATAGGTGTGATACACAATGCTGAGTAACCCCTCTTGCCCCCCTAAAAACCTCACTTAAAAATTAAACAACAATGAACCTTGAACTTTCATTTACACACACGAACTTAGTGAAAGTGTGTAAATGTAAAAGCAGGAGGGCCATCCACCCATGTGACATGTACATGGTGACATTCTCTGCTGGAGCACTGCTTACTGACACAAGACTGAGAAAACAAGTCCAACATATAGCCTCAGCACACAAAGCCACAGTGCAGGCCTAGCAATTCTACTCTTAACATTTTTTCCTCAGGAGATACATACATACATATATACACACACACATATATGAAAACATGAGATGTTCAACACCATCAGCCATCAGAAAAATGCAAATTAAATCAAGTAAAGCTCCACTGCACACCCTGCAGGATGGTTAGACTCAAAGACAGATGAGAGCAAGCATTAGCGAAGTCAGGGGCCACCAAAACCCTGTCAACACTGTTAGTGGGAATGTGAGAGGGCCAACCCCCAGACAGCAGTGTTCCTCAGAATGGTGTATAAGCTTACCCAACACAGCAGCTCCAGGTCAGGGATATACCCAAAACAACTAAACAGATGCCCACATAAAAACCTTTAGCACGAATGTTTATAAGCAGCATCATAAAAGCTAAGTGGAAATAACATACTATTCATGAGCAGACAAGCCAAGGGTAGCTTATTCTTACAATAAAATACCACTGAAGCCTGTAAAGGAAGGAGGTCCATGCTGCAATGTGGATGAACCTTAAGGACAGGATGCTGAGTGAAAGAAGCAGCCAGTCAGACACCCAAGTCACATGTGAAATCTCTAGAAAAGGTAAACCTACAAACAGGAAGCAGGTCAGTGGCTACCTGGGGATGGAGTGACTGCAAACAGGATCTCTTTCAGATGCAAACTAACTCATAAGGCTGTTGGGACAAAGCTATGAACTGGTTGAAAATGACCTGAACATACATTGATAACAGGTGAATTTGATGGTGTGTGGAGTTTTATGTCAACCTGATACAAGCTGGAGTCATTTTGGAAGAGGGATCCTCAATTGAGAAAATACCCCCACTATTTGGCCTGTGGGCAAGCCTGTGGTACATTTTCATGATTGATGATAAGTGTAGGCAGTGCCACCCTTGGCCTGGTGGCCCTGGATCCTATAAGGCAAGCTGAGCAAGCCAAGAGGAGCAACCCAGCAAGCAGCTCTTCTCTATGGCTTCTGCATCAGTTCCTGCCTCCAGGTTTCTGCCCTGAGTTCCTTCAGTGATGGACTGTGCTGTGAACTGTAAGCTGAAACAAACTCTTCTCTCCCCAGTTGATTTTGGCCAATGGTGTTTTATCACAGCAATAGAAAAACTAAGTCAGCATATAAGTCACATTCCAATAAAATGGCCTAAAGGAGTTAAAACTTGCATTGAGGCATTGCCTGGAGCATCTTGCAATACTAAGGTGAAGGGGCACTGTCATGCCTTCATGCACACGAGAAACAGTGCTTCAAGATCCCTCCATAGTTCTACTTGTCCTGTCTCTCTAGACCTTGAGTTCCCAGTGCCTGAGTCTCCCAGTGACTAGAGTGACTACTAAATAGATACATTTGGACTCAGTGCCACCTTCCAGCAGCTCCAAAAGGTCACTTGTCTGCCATCTCAGATCTTGGTGTTAAAGGCACCTCAGAAGGCAGTCTCTTGTCTGCGTTCTATGCCCAGCTAACTTCCTATGCCCGGCAGATGGGTAAGTGAGCTGGTTTGTAGAAGTCACAGCCAAGTACTTCTCTGAGTAAAGAAAAGATCAGTGTTACCTGGGTTCTCTAGAAGAGATCTACTAGGTCTGCATCCTCTCTGAGGTGGAGTCCTGGATATTTAGGGGGTGCCAGAAACCCTTCCAAAAGGAATTAATGACATGCATGCCTTAGAAAAGACTTGCAGATAAAGGAAGGCCCCTGTGGTTCCTCAGAGCCGGATGGCATCCCTAGAGGCTGCCATACTGGAGCACAGGTACCATAGGTTGGGAAGGGAAGCAGTGTTCAATTCTGACAACCCTGTGAAGCAAGCCAGCACTCTTAATGCATGCTAGCTAGCTACAAGGGCTGAAGTCATCAGCCTCCCAGGCAGGGGGTATCCAGACAGCCTTCACAGGAATTCAGCAGGCCCTGGGCAAGCACTGTTCAACCGTGGGCCATAGTAGAACCTCAGGCAAAGGAAAGTCCCAGGCCTGCCAGCCAGGAGCAGCAATAACCCCAGATCGGATGAGCTCCTGCACCTTCAGGGGAAATGAGCTGCCAGAGAGCACTGATAAACAGAAAGCCGTGTCCTGAGCAAGCATCTGTGCCAAGCAGGGACACACTGAAAAAGCGGTCTCCTGCTTAAGACCCCTCAGGGTTGCCCCTCCCCACCTTCTTACCTTCGGGCCCGGGGACGTGGGTGCTGTCTGGTGACCAGAGCACTTCCCCAGACAGTCTCCCCAGGGCCGCTCCTACACCAGCCAGCTGCTGCTGGGGGTCCGGGGTAGGATGGCCCCCCAGGGAAGCCGTGGTCTGACTCCGTCTCGGCAGCCAGGGAGGAGGCAGAGCTCCCCATGGCCCCCCTGACAGTGGCCACGTAGAGAGCCGGGCCTGGTCACCTCTGGCCGGTGGCACGCGAACGGAAGCATGGAGAGAGGAGAGGGCCCACACCGGAGAAAGGGCAGCCGGCTGGTCAGTGAGACAACAACAACAATGAACAGAATAAAAAGAGAAAAGAAACAGTGTGATTCACACAGATGAAACTCTAGGCCCTGGGTGAGTTTCCCAGCATGCCAAGTGGTCTAGGGTACACAAGGTGAAAGTGAGGTTCAGGGACCTAGGCATGACTTTAAAGTACTCAGCACATCCCACAGACAAGCCCCACAAGAGAATATAGGCCAGAGGCCAGAGGCCAGCAGCAAATGGAGCTGCAACTCCCTGACTTGTGGTATATTAGGGTTTCAGGTTATCATCCTAATCTGAAAACCCATCGTCCCCCTCAAACTTGTCTCCAGTCCTCAGGGGGCCTTTATTTCCCAGTTAGGAGGACAGGCTTGCCTTATTACAGAAGAAACTGTCAAGGAGACATTTAGCCCACAGGGAGGGAAAAAGTGAAGGAGCAAAGGGCAGAGCGGGATGCTACTTGAAGATCTAAGAGGTCAGGACCAAACTGTGCCTTTAGAAGGGCAGCAGCTGACTGTGTAAACACACACTTACCAGGCAAATGCCAGGGAACCTAAGAAACTGTTCATGCCCGAGCAAGAGAGCAGACCGCTTGTGCTGCAGGGAGAGCCATTTGACACCTGCTGGCTAAGGGCGGGGTGTGTGTGTGTGTGTGTGTGTGTGTGTGTGTGTGTGTGTAGCAAAACCAAACAAATCTGAGTGTGGTCTTTGGGACAGGGAGGACTTGGCAGTGGGGAGATAACACACACAGGGAAACTGGATGTGCATGGGTCCCTCTTTGGACTCTAGGTTAAGGTGTGTAGCTACGCTGCCCTCTGACTGGGTACAGCACCAACCTGTCCTGGTTTCGGCAGTTCCTACCCCTGGGTTTCCTATCCCCCACTGACCGCACTTTCTGTGACTTCTGAGTAAGCCTCTGTAACACTGACTCTGGTATTGGGGTGTAGATGAGGGGAGACTGATATAATGAGCTGAGAGACACACCTACAAAGTACTGCAGGTTCAAGGGACAGCCCCACATGACAGGTAACAGCCTGTGTAGTACCTTTGAGAGTCAGCACTTGACACCTGAGGGGACCACCAGAATCAAGCCCAAACCCTCTCCAACACACCCAGGCATTGGGCCAGGTAGTTCTGCAACCTCTCACCAAGAGATCTCAATCAGAACTAGCTGATTCTCCCACGAAGCAGCATTTCCCAACTACCTTCTGAGTTAGCCTGTGAGAGGCTGCTTTGCCAAGGGACTGGCCCTATTGGCTTGGTGACCGTGTGAGACTTGAAAGCTTTTAATTCATACTTTGAAATGGCTAGAAAATAAAACAAGCCAGGTGGTGATGGCGCACACCTTTAATCCCAGCACTTGGGAGGCACAGGCAGGTGAATCTGTGAATTCAAGGCCAGCCTGGTCTACAGAGTTAGTTTTAAACCAAAAAAGAAAAGAAAGAAAGAAAACAAAAGGAAAAGGGTAGGAGAAACAAAATTTACGTGAATTAAAACTAAAACCTCTCTCTCTCTCTCTTTCTCTCTCTCTCTCTCTCTCTCTCTCTCTCTCTCTCTCTCTCTCTCTCTCTCACACACACACACACACACACACACAC